GCATTTACAAACATTTTATTTTAAGTGTTATGTAAATCGTGTTTTTTGGAAAAAAAATTAGGAGGAATTTGCTAATTGTCATAATCGAAAACCGTGGGAAGTTTGCTTTGACTTATTACATCTTGTACGCTTTTGCCTTTTACATTGCCTCTTGCATGACACACGATAGGTTAACACGGGTGTTACGGCATTGCAGGATTGTGAGCCGTGGACTTCTTTATATAATCCAATGGTCTTCCCTCCAAGGCGATACTTCCTAAGCTTCCAGTGAAGCCAAATTACGAATCACTTCCAATCATCTTTTTCTTTGGAATGAAGAGCTGACTTTCATTAACTTATTATAGGATTCCTTAAAAACGGCATTTTCTTCGTATATGTAAGATTTTACGTGTCTTTATATTCGTACTGAGTGGGCTTTCGAAACCGTCTGTAGATTTTGAAGGATACTGGGTTACATAAGGTGATAGAGAATTCAGCTCCTATTTAAGATATACTTGTAATTTCGGAAACTTAATCAATATGAATATAAGTAATAGCAACTGCAAGTTTGCCTTTCCGACAATTCCACTAGATTAAATATAACATAAAAAAAGCTCGACCTTTCGTGAAATTCTCGTTTGCTCAGTGACTCAAAGACGCTCGTGGCCATGTAATGTCGTGGACGATTTTCGAAACTACGCTGTAATAGTTGTGTTTGAGTCCCAGTAAGTGTTCTGATAAGGCCTGGGCGAAGTCGAAATTGCAGACCATCCTGGATAAGAATACCTTTAGGAAAGCAAGACTAAGTGAAATTCTGGGGCATATGATTATGGAAAAATTAAACTATCAGTCCTTCATCACCTTATGTGACTTAGGCTAAGCGCGGCTCTTATTTATGTGCTTGTTTCCAGACCTTCGTTTATATCAGTTATTAATAGGGGTTGCCCATTCATATCTTCTAATTGGTAGTTGCATTCCTGGAAGTACTCTAATTATTTCTCATCGATGCGCACTTGGGTAATGCATTTGGGAGATTTGGGCAAAATAACTTATTTTTTATGCCCGGTATGATGAAATAAAGCACTTTAGAGCATAATGAGGCAATATCGTATCATATATTTATATATATATTCATATATATGTGCATTTAGAGCACGCGCGTCATGCGAATAACCACTCAGAGATTTGGTAGTAGTAGCAGCAAAAATAAAAAGCTTTAGGAGATCAGTGTCGTGATCGAGGTTGAGAGGCACACCATAGCTCTAATTGCGGGCAATTGATTTATGCTGAAGCGTAACGGCGGCTTTGCCTTTGTCCATCAGAAACGAAAATGTTAGCTTTACCTTTGCAAAATAACACTGTATTTAGTGCCTTATAGATACGAAGAGAAACTTGGTTTCGATGAATCTCCTGAGATAACACTATTGGGGGGACTTTCATTCCGTACAAAAGTGTATGAAGAAGAGATTAATAGGTTGATCTCACCAGAAGAGGACAGATAAAGCCCGTTGTACTGCAGCCCTTTGGCTTTTATACGATGTTCACGTTAAGCCTACATTTTTATTCTATTGTCTCCTCATGAGAATAAATCTAATTTCATATAAGGGAGGATAGTAACCTTCAAAATCTCATTTAAAACTTCTTCATTTCCTTAAAAGTTGCTATAGGTTCCACTAAACTGTCATTTTGTGGAAGAGCTAACTGTTCATGGCACTATTCTAGCGAGAATACTTCATCGGGAAATGATATTAATCTCGTGGTATGGTACGTCCGCTCTATGAATACAGAGGTGAGATTGCATTTGGATCAGGCATCTGAGTCTAGCTCTGGGTTCCCTGATGGAGCTAGTTATTTGTGAATAATTTAGGTGTCCTCTTTGTAAAAAATAATACTTTTACAGCCGATTTCTTATAAATATAAGTAATGTAATTAAGTTAATGTATAATCCCCCGAAGTTACATATGACCACATAATATACACAACTAGGCTGTATGCCATATTTGTATTTTATAAAGGGATTATAACCGCATCCCCTCTAGGCAGACGAAGAAGGCGTAATGATGGCTGAAGCACGATAAGTCCGGATTTCAGTTCAATGGGGACGCCACATTCAACAATTTTTATCCACACATAAGCACATGTGGGCGAGTTAATCTTTAATTATAACTTCCCTAAGAGTATCGTGAATTCAGAGATTGCTTCTAAGAAGAGAAGTACCTCGATGCCGGAGGCCCTGAATGAATCGGTAACTAGGGCTAGATCTTTGTTATAGGGAGCATCTCAAGGAGGACCCTTATGGTGGAC